TCTTAACATTTTCTTTTTTGATTCATTTGCTTATGTTTGATAATAAAAAAGTTAGGTACGTTAACAATTAGCCATGTTTTTCATCAATAAATCCTCATTTTCTGCTTAGTTTAAAAACAAGCCAGTAGGCTATGAGAAGTTAACAATTTAATGCACACACCGGCAAATTTAAAGGAACCTGTTATTAATGCAATATTTCTTTATATTTGTATTTTATAGACTATATCTACATAGCTTTGAAAGCTCCTTGTCACAAGAAAGTGTTAAATGTCAAAATGTCAAATTAATTTGTTTATTTGTATTGTGTTTTACATTTTACAGTCATTCTGTCTGTTCATAACAAGTACAAACTTGTATTAAATTGAACGCACAATAAGAAAGAGACTTAAAGAAGCCGGTCTCAAGTCATATGTGCCAGTAAAAGCTCCCAGACTCCAGAGACACCATCGTTTAGCACGACTACAATTTGGTCGAGTACATCAAAATTGGAATGATAACCACTGGAGTCAAATTCTCTTTACGGACGAGAGCCGTTTCTGTGTAAATTACATCGACGGTAGAGAAAGATTGTATTAACGCCAAGGAGAACGAAATGCCCCTTTAAATTTTACTACGACCGTACCTTTTGGTGGAGGTTCAATTATGGTGTGGGGCGGTATATGTTTGGGAGCAATAACAGAGTTAGTGGTGATTGATGGTGGAGCATTAACAGCAGATAAGTATATCAAAGATATTCTCCAAGACCATGTGGTACCTTTTTCACCATATATTGGCGAAAATTTAATTTATAGTGTAAGAGTGTAAGTGGAAGATATTTCTTATTACAAGTGGGTATAACAACGATGAATTGGCCAGCTTGTTCCCCAGACCTAAACCCGATAGAGGATATGTGGGACATGCTAGGCAGAAAACTTAAGGCACGGGTTCCTGCTATTCAAAACAGAGAAGAAGTCACAATTGCAAAAGATTGAGGAATTGGAGAGGCTGCCCAACAACTGATCGATAGCGTTATCAGAAGTATGAGAAGACGAATAACTGCAGTTGTAAGGGCTCGTAGGGGAAACACACGCTATTAAAGCCAAAAAATGCATAAAAAAACAATTTAAGTTCAAACTGTACAATAAAGTTAATGCATTTAAAATCCGTATTTTGTTGAGTCTGACATCTTTGTGTTTTATTTCTTCTTAAACAGGTTTTATATTGTACTACCATTGTAATATAAATTCAAAATACTTCACCAACATTCGTATTATGATATTATCTAAACAGTATATAGACTAGAGAGAAAATACTCAGATTTTATGGTTGTTCCTTTAAATATGCTGGTGAAACTAAGAAGAAAATGAGCATTTATTGATGAAAAACATGGCTAGTTGTTAACGTACCTAACTTTTTTATTATCCAACACAAGCAAATGAATCAAAAAAGAAAATGTTAAGAAAGCCTGAGACTATAATTGAGCTTTAATTTCAATATTTTATATATGCTAGAATATTCCACAGGGTGTTTCGAACTTTAAGGAAAAAACACAGTATGATTGTTACACCCGGTATAAAATGACGTTGACCTGTCTAGCAACAATATTATTTTATTGATATTCTTAAATAATATACCTATAACATACTAAAAAAATCACTAAAATCGGACAACAGGTTTAGGAAATTCGAGTCATCTAACATGTTCCATTTTTAAGGTGTTCCGTAAATTTTGCCGGTGAGTGTATATATCTGGAGTATATGTTAAAGAGTATTGGTAATAAGATTTATCTTTGTCTCCTTTTAACCTATAAAATTTTAACCCGCGAGTGACTGAGCCTAAGCTTGGTAGGTAATCCTTTTGTCCGCTTACAACGTGGCGAGAATAATGGAAGGATCTCTTATGAAAATAACTTCAAAAGTTATTCTTAGGACAAAAAATTATTATTAGAAGATAAAAACTTAATAACTAAAAACGGACAAGCAAAGCAAAGCCTCTTCAAGGTCTTTATTAGTTCTTATCCTATCTTGTCCTGATGCTTCATCAAGCACCGGACCAAAGATCTTCCTTAGGATTTTTCTTTCCCAAACACGTAGTCTTTCTTCATTTGCCTTTGTTATCGTCCACGTTTCGCTTCCATACATCACAACTCTTCTTATGATTGTTTTATAGACCTGTATCTTCGTACGTCGTGTTAGTTGTTTTGATTTTATAAGGTTTTGGAGGGCAAAAATACATCTGTTGCCGGCCTGAATCCTGTTGTTTATTTCTTGTGATCCGTTATTGTCTTCAGTTATTGTTGTTCCAAGATACTTGAATTCTCTAACGCGCTCAAAGTTAGTCATCGATGGTAATCTGGTAAATAAAACTGAATGAGATGATATTATTCTAATTTTACTCATTTTTTTTTTAAAGCGAAGCTTCTATTCTGGCATTCTATTTAGAGCTTTAATTAAATGGGGTCCAATTTGAAAAAGTTCACAAAATTACATATTTGGGAACTGTCATAACGGACCAGCTAGATCCAGACATAAAAATAAAACGAAGAAAAGCAATTACTAAAACTACTTTTATGAAAATGAAGACAGTTCTTTGCAATAATCATCTCATTCTTTGTCAACGGCAAAGAATGGTAAAGTGCTATAGTTGGTACATGTGTACGGAGCAGAATTGTTTACACTACAAGTATCAAGTATGAACATAATTGAAGCATTTCAAATATGGATTTATAGACGGATACTGAAGATACCTTGGACAGCAAGAAGAGAGAATTGTTAAAGACTGGTAAACACCGGAAAATGTCTCATCTGGGACATATAGGGAAAGGAAATCGATGTACAATATTACAAGTGATCCTTAAAGGCAAAACAGAAGGCCATCCTTAAAGGCAAAATAGAAGGCCTTAGAGGTGTAGGAAGAAAACAGGTTTCTTGATTACAAAACATTTGTGAATGGACTCTATATCAAATGCAGGCCAATTATTCCATGTGGCAGAAGATCGAGAAGCCTTCGCAATGGTGATCACCAATGTCGAATAACTGATACGGCGCGTGAATAAGAAAAAGAAGTTCGCAATTTCCTTGCTTGGTTCGAAGTCACAGTAAACAGTTAGAAGAGTTTATTTACGCGACGAGGGAGTCCGTTATACAACATGTAAACGTTTTCAATTTTATTACATTCTATAGGAATCAATAAAAAAAATTATAAATAAATAATAAAATTAATATTCAATTTTAAAAATATTATTGAAATTTTATAAATACAGAAAACATAGAATGATGCTTCGCGCTTGTCTACAGTACCGCCTACTGTACCACTTTTGTTATAAAGAAAGGAACATTCAGAATATAACCCCGCACCTGTTATTGAGGAATTGGTTGATAAATAGTTTTTATGTACTTATTTCTATATGTTCTATATGTTTATATAATATTTAAAAATAAGTAAGTCGTAAATTTTATCTTATCTCATATCATCATAAAGAGTATCAAAAGTTACGAAAATATTTATTTAACTTTATTTCCTATATTTAATAGTATGCATAATAATTCTATTTACTGATATTTTCGAAAAGTTTTAAAAACAATTTTAATTATTTTCTAAAGAAATCAATTTTTGTATAGTTTTTACAATTTTTATTGATAGACGTAGGCTATGACATCTATATATGATTAGAGAGTCAATAATATTTTTATGTATTACATCTCTCCTTATAGGATTGAATCGGGAGGAAAATATGTACGTTTTTGAATGTTTGGATTGGAACTTTGGGAGATCATATTATTGGTCCTTTTTTCATGGGAGGAAATCTAAACGCAGTAAAATATCTAGAATTACTGCAAAATTAAATTATTCCTACACTTAAACATCTTCAAATCAACTTACGAAATTAGGTTTTAACAAGATGGCCGTCCTTCACATAATGTATAGGCCGTTAGAAACTATTTAGCTTTAATTTTTCGGAACGTACAATACACACGGTACAATAAAATGACCCTCTTGATCACCCGACTTACCTCCTCTAGGGTTTTATTTTTGGTGATGCTAGAGATTACATTGTCAGCATGAGTTCGAGCGATCCCCCAACTTGCAGCAACTGGGACAAAAGGTAATCGAACTTAGCCAAAACATATCGGCAAATGAACTCAATCCATGAGGAATTCGTAGTATAATAGAGTTGGTTTTTGTTTCCGTTTTGGTTTAGAATTACTAATTGTTTGAAATTATTTTTAATTTAAGCAGTAATTTTAGAATAAATTTTTATTTTATTTCATTTTTATAGAACTAATTTTATATTCACACTTCTACTTCTTAAATAGCTAAACAAAAATATGGTTCCAAAGATGTTATTTGGAAAATGACCCATGGCTACGCCTACAAACCAATGTCCCACTATGGGACTAAAACGACGACAACATTTACTATTTTTCCGAAGTTTCTTGTGGCATCTTAAATAATTTATTATTTTTATTGGGAATTAGCCACAATTTGACTTTGAAATAAGCCACAATTTTACTTTAAAATAAGTTTATTTTGACATTTCGATTTCCGAAAACTTTAAAATAGACTTATTTTAAAGTAAAATTGTGGCTTCTTAATAAAAATAGGAAGCTGCAATTTAAATGAATTCTCCCAAATTTATTGTCTTGGCTTATTTTTTAAATGCTTAAAAGACGATAGGTGAAATAAAAACATGTATGGCAACAATGTTAAACCTCACGTCTCAAATTACTTAAACTATTCAAGTTTCCACAAGGTTTTTTGGGGACCTAATAAGAATATGCCGTTAAACACGTTTGCATATCCACGTTTTAATTCTTTCCGGTACTATACACATATATACATACATACACACATGCCCACACAAAAGTTTACACAAAAGATCCGATAGATCGTAGTGCAGAGAGAATGCTACATAACTTTGCGATCTATACTGCAGCCCCACACCATCTCCTATTGTTTTTAAAATTATTTTTTTATTTTCTAATATGTAATATTATTATTATAATACCATTATATTTTAGATAAAATCAATAGTGAATTCGAACGACAGCCTCAAGAACTTCTTCGCTTTGCCACAACTCCAGCTACCTCTTCAGATAATCCTCAGGATCTACACATTCGTCTTTATGGGCTGGTGTCTAATACCGTTCGGCCTTTTGAAGTTTAGCAAGTACTGGCATGCTATGGCAAACGCTAGTTATGTGGGCATAATATTATTCGTATTGTGGCCTTTTGTATATTCACCTCTAATTAGATTTGTGCTTAAAAAGATGCGAACCAAAAGGACTGAGTAACGTAGATTTATATAGACTTAGGTGGTGTGTTTGTACAAGTTTGTGATAAAGGAAAAGTAATTTTTTTATAGTTTAAGGAACAATTAATCGCTCAAAGCCCTCAAAATAAAATGTGTCACGAAATAGCTTGAAAATTTAAAAGTAGAATGATTCCAGAACAATGTAAATTTTTAAATATTTCTCGTGCTTCCTTTGGCTTCCGTTCATTAGTTTAGCATGTTGGCAAATGTGTTTTGCAGAATTTTTTAATATTATTGTTTGCTTTCTTTTTGAAACTCAAAAAATACTACATTATGCTGTCCCTGTATAATTTTGCAACAAATAACAGTTATAAGATATGACTAGAGAATTCTTGACTTGAATGACTTCTTCTATGACTTGAAATTGGTTATCAATCACTACCTTAAAAGTAGTAACTAAACTAAAAGTCATAACAGTATATTTTTTTAAATAGTGAATTACCTTCTTATCTAACTCTTTGTGAGTTATATTAAATTGAAACTATTAAATAAATTAATGTTCAAATCTTGAACCTGTGCTGTTACTTGAGAGTAAGAGTCATAGCAATGTTTTTAAAAATACTCCCCTTTTTCAAAATTACATTTGAGTTGATGAATAAGCCAAAGCTGCTAAAATCAGTAACTTTTGCTTTCAGTTAACTGTGTGAGCTCGCAGAAATGGTTTCCTTGAGAAGAGCCTCGTGTCCAGTTCTCCTTTTTTGTGAATTATATTAACGTGGTCAACTCTCCATTTTTGAGGTATGTTGAAAGTGGAGCTGTTAAAATCTTGAAAAAGTGCGGTTATCTGATTGTTAGAGTCATAGCAATGTTTTAAAAAGTGCTCAGCCGTTTGCCAAACCTGTTTGTAAAAGTATTATATAAACTAAAGTTGCTAAAATCTTGGATACACGCTGTTATTTGACTGTTTGAGCTCATAATTTATTGTATTAAAAGCGAAGCTTTTCATACAATGAAGAACTAAACTTTTTAAGCTAAAAATAGGGGGCTGTTAAAAGCTTAAGCTCAGTACGGTTCGTTGACTGAGTTCATAATATCGCTGTTTAAGAAAAGTGCAGCAGCGGAGTTGTAACTTTGGGCTATTCACGATTATATTAAAATCAAAACCTTCGAATACAATGGATCTACTAAAATGTTAAACTCTATACTAGATTTTTATAAAATATATAACGTCACGAAGTCACGTGTCCAAAAGCCTACTTTTTGAACCACCCAGTTGTCTAACTTTCAATTTTTCAAGATTGGCTTAAAATTGACAAATAGTTTAGTCATTTAAAAAAGTTTTTAGTGAGGAAGATACCCAAAGTATAATAAATAAATATAGAGTACTTTCTTATTTAGTATCTGGCATATGGACTAATTTCCTTTTTTTAGTTGTGTTCTAGTGTTTCATTTCAATTATGAAACCATTTCCTTTTGCTTACTATTTAACGCTACAGAATCCTTAAAGATGAGTGGTGTTTTAGAGTGTTGGTTAATTAATTTTTTGATATTTTTCTATTGAATTCAGTCATATACTTATCATAATACATAGTTCAGCAGATGAAAATGTCGATAAAAGTGTTATTCACTTTATAGAAAAATATTTAGAAGGTATCTAAGATTGTAATATACAGTATTAATACATAGTTTATTATAAAACTCTTGTTGACTGAGTGTAAGTCCTTGTTGTTGTTAAAATGAACTGTAAACTTTATTATGTGTTCTGCTAGATTAAAAGAGGTCATAGAGATACGGAACAACAACTTACCGAGATAAAACAAAACCTGTTCAAGACAATTCAAATTTTCAGTATGTTTTTTTTTCAAAATACAAAACCAGTGATAATTAAACTCTCTATTGAAGATCTTAGTATTGTTAGTGTTGTTGATTGTACCACTTTTTTAATTTTATATTGATTTACCTACTTTCAGTGCTAATTGGAATGAAGTAGTATTTTGTTTCAGATTGTTTTTATTACTTACTTCCTGCGTAAACTCTTTTTGCCTCTTGCTAAAATTAATGATTCTACAAAGCTATTTCGTGGTCATTTAACATATAAAATAAACAAATCTACCAGTTAGATTGATAATAAGGGCCGCAATTTTCTAGATAAAAAAGACCAGTGTAATTTTACTTTTTGGATGCTTATGTACTTTAATGACTGCAACACTAGAGACTTTTTGAAATTTATGCTTTAAAAATCGTCGCTTTTATTACAGTTTTTATTAAATCTTAAAAAATTTGCGATATATATACAAAAATAAGTGAGCTACAAATAATTTTAGTAAAAATGGGGAAGGTTACAACGTAAAATGTTCATGTTTCACTATATGCATATAAAAATAATACAATTATGAACCTTATTCATAAATATAGGGTATCACAAAATTTACGCAAAATTTGAATTAAATAGATAACTCTGTTTCTCTTTAGATTGTAATTTTGTTATTGAATCATACAGTGCATAGGATATGGTTATGTATGGAATAGCACATCAGCCAAATGACCTCGGTTTACTGGCACATACGCATTCTTTTCTGGCATGTGGCACCGTGTTGTTAAAACCACATGTCGACCACATCAATATTATCCAATTTAGGCAGAAAAACTCCAACCCAAAATCCGCACCAAACAGTAACACGTTGTGGATACATTTTTTTTCGCCGGTCACACGTGGCTTCTCTCTCCAGAACTCCAAATGAGACAATTTTGACGATTAACAAAGCCATCAAGGTGACAATGTGCTTCATCGCCTAAGATGACTTTGCTCAAAAAGTCAACAGCCTCTTGTCAATATTCAATAATCCATTCAACGAACTCTCTTCGCTCTGCATGGTCTTTACCCTTTAGTTCTTGTGTCAATTTAAGTTTATAAGTATGCTTGGAACATTCATAAGCACTGCTTCGATATTTACATTTGATCGGCTTGTTTTTTGACAGCAGTGTGTTTTTCATTACCAATTGGTCTCTCTGAATTTTTAATTACTCTTCACAGTTGATGAAGTTAAATCAATATTTTTCACGAAATTTTTGTAAAAACCGTGGCAGCCAAACTATCATTATTTAAAAAAAAAATGTTCAACAATGAAAATGCGTTGTTCTCTCATGTAACGATCCAGTTTTACTATATAACTTAAACTATCAGCTGTCAAAACTGTTTTGTGTTTTTGTTGCCAACACTTAACTTAACAAATGGCGGCAAATTCAAATATTGCGTGAATTTTGGGACACCCTTTATGTTGGTTAAGATGCTTCGAAAACTGCAATAGTTGTTGATTATACGCTTTTTATCCATTGAAGCAGACAACGCGAAGGCAAGTCTAGGCGTTAATAAAATTTAATAAATAGAATAGATTATTTTTAAATATTGTGAAATATATTGTATCATCAGAGAATAAAATTTACTGTACAATTTGATGGAATATATGAATGCTCAGGTGATTCTGAGATGAACAGTAAAGGGGCTTCTAGACGGTCAATATCCTAGCGCGCGCGTACTGCTTTCTATTTTACAGCTTCAAAGGACTCAAATATCGTTCTTTTTATTCCAAATTTCATCTGAGAAAGTAGATAGAAGGTGCAGAATCTAGCAAATAAGCCGCATTGGGACTCCCTAGCAACTTTTTAAACGACAATGAGAAGACAATGGTGCTATATTTTCTTGTTACTGAACTCACGACTTCTTCCACTAAGGGTCTCCTTATTTTTTTCACGGAGCAAAAGTAGCTGAAAGTCTGAAAATCTAACTTCCTGGGCGAACAATGAAGTGAGACCGCACTCGGAAGGAATTATGCATCTGTCCTTTGGATATTGGTTTTTGTAGGCCCTTGTTTGAACTATCAGACCAGCTCTTTTGGTAGGTATGAGATGAATGGACATATGTTTCATCCATGTATATAGTTGGGCGATTTGCGTTCCTGTAACTTTTCATACTACGTAAGAAATTCAGTCTAAGATGTTGAATATTGGGCTTCTCCATTAATAATTTTCTATTAGTTCTGGTTTTTCGCTAACGAAATCCCATCTTTCTAATTACTGTCGTAGGCTTTCTATGGAACCTGAGTAGTTGTAATACTCTGCAAATGTTCTGTGTATGCGTTTCACACTTACTACTTGTTTTTGAGTTATACAAAAATCCATTATATAACGTCAAAGACGCCCTATATCAAAATCGTTCAAGCGCGTTTTTTCCTCTTTTTGTTTGGAGTTACAATTGAGGAACATTCGCAGTCTTCAATTAATTGCATTTCCCGAGCAATTTTCTGAACGCTGCTTAAACTAACACCTGTTGCCAGTACCACACGCTCCTGCACTTTTTTAAAATCTCTACACGGTTTATTGTCTGTGGCTTCCTTCCTCATAAAATGAATCACATTTGCTATCACTTCCCGTGTTTGATTAGTTAAAACTTTTCCCGTCAGATTCGATTTAAATTCTATGTTTAATATAGGTACACAACACAGATTTGCAAATTTGGAAATGACCCTCCTTTTCTGTTCGTACTTACAAAAAATGTTTCGCAAACTGTACCGACTTGTTCACTTTACAAACGGTATAATTAGTGGACGCTCAGTGCGAGATACGTTGGATGATGAATGCGCATCATGGGCGTGGTTATTTTTAGACTTTCAGCTATTTTTGGTGAACTGTAACATTTTTGATGTTTGTTTTAGTCTACCCACGCACGGGAAAAATTTATACCTGCGTTATGTTTCTTTCACTAATATTTTAACAAAAAATATGATTTGGAATAATTCTTAAAGAAAAGTGATTAGCATTTATTTAACTTAACATAAAAAGACGATATAAATAAATATGGAAATAATTATTGCTGATGGAATACAAGAATTATTTCCCAAAAGTTCCCAAACTCTATGAATTATTGAAGATATACAAAAAAAAAGAAGAATAAGAAAAATAACGTTTTATTTCAGTTAAACATTTAACTAATAATTTTCATTTCTTTGATCTAGACGAATATATGGTACCTTACTCATGGTAACGTCTCGTTTACTCATTTAAAATATATAATTTTTTCGAACCTAATTCCACTTTTTAATTAATTCATAATTTAATATACCACACATGAAATTTTATTACCAAGGAAACATATATCCCAAGAGCATACTCAGTAAACTTTGTGAATTATAACCCTGTTTGCATACAGTGCTCAGATTGCTTAACCAATTACTTAAGTTTTAAAAAACGATTACAGACTAATGTAAACGTAAGTAGCAGATAAATTGTCGTATTTGATCCAATACTATCAATAAAAAAAAAATCGTAACCTTTGCCATTATTTAAATAGAACAACATTGACGATTTTAAACTTGCCAAATAAATTTTTTGCTAAATTGCTTTATAAAGTTTAGCCGAGCCAAAAATAGAATCGAATATTTATTTTTACTTTTAACAATATTGTGTGATATAATTTTCTTTACAGATTTATATATAATCATCCGTAAAATCCTTTATATCTCTCTATCCTTAGCAAATTCTATCTATCTTGAAGTAAGTGCTTGAAGTCATTAATCACACAAGTTACTTTTCTCTTTGTTGTGTTTATGATTCCATCATCGTCAAGTTAAAACTAATAGATTTATATCTCTTAGTTTTTTAGTTGTTTTGGACATTCTTCTACTTTTTGTCCTACTAAGGCTTTTTGACCTATTTATATACTTTCTAATATTATTTCCGAGACTCATCTTGTAGACTGCGATCTTTAGATACCCTTGTTATTGATGCTTAACTTATTCACCCATAGTAGATTGATACGTGAGATATTATGTTCCATTCCTGGTTTTATTTTGTCCTTAGGTGAGACCTAAAACCTTTGGCAATCAGTCATCGCACAAGTTCCAACGTATATATTTTTTCCTGTTTTTTAATTCCTCATGTCCTTCACTCATCTTGGTTTGGTACCCACATCTGTTTGTCGTATTGCGGAGTTGCTGGATCTGCTGTACACAGTTCCAGACTAAGTTGAATTTTCTCTAATACATATTCATAGTCATTACAGCTGCCTGGTTTTGAAGCATTATTGATTTTTTCAATTTGATTTTGATAACAGGTGGCTGTGGCAAGTGTTGCACAGTAAAATGATACACATCTTATCATAGGCGTTCTGTTGAACTTAGAACAGCTCATTGTCGTGGGATTATCACAGGTTTATAGAGTTTTACATCTCAGCGATTTGGCAAAGATTCCAATAAGGAGTCCTAGATCTGAAATTCACTTCAGGATCCTCTTATTGTTCATGTATACAACAGAAAAGTGCCCCATTCTTTTTAAGGTGTTACATTCCCATCATATCGTAACTTATAATTAATAATCAACTTCTTGTATGTCTTTTTAATACCTCTTATATTGTCTTAATTTTGCCTAGGTGCAGATCCGTGCATGGATTATAAATACTAATTCTTTAAAGAAGTATATAAGTGCCAGTATCAGCTTTATACGCATAACAATAATGTGTGATTCAAGATTGTACGATGGTGTCTTTTTATACAGTTTTTTTTTATATTGTAAGATTTTGTTGTACTTAGCTATGCACAAAGTGATCACACAAAATAGCATAATTTATTTATGGCTTATTTATTTCGGAACGGCTTAAAATAGGACTTTGTTATTATTGTTCTGGTGATTTTTATATTGTATTTAATAAATTGTTACTGATATGTGTTTATTTTTTCCTAAAAAACTTGAAAGCAAAAAAGAATTCCTAACTGCAAAAAGAATAAATTTTCGATACTGTATCTAGTATAGTTGTCCTAAGTAAATTAAGCAAATATTGTATACCTGGAAATATAAATAATTTCATAAAAAACTTCTTGTCGAATAGACCATTCAAAATATTAGCGAACGGGAGTCCCTTAGAAGTCAGTGCTGAGTCCCACTCTTTATTTTTGTCATAAACGGTATATCGTCTTTCATCAATCCCCCTGTCAAGTATGCCTTATACGTAGATGATCTCAATGTATTCTGTCGCGGTAAAAATATCACAACTACATGCAACATTGTCCAACAGATTATTAATCAATAAGTCAATGGTCAACCCAAACTTTCCTACAGTTTTCTAGTTAGAAAATCAAGTTAATTAAGTTTTCAAAAAGAACTACTAACAGTCATTCATCTAATTTAATCCTGGATAGAGTTTAGCTTAAAGAAATAGAATACCACAAAATCCTAGGACTTACTTTTGATAACAAACTTAAAAAAAAAAACAGAATTAACT